CTTGAATACCTGGAAGAGGCATTCACAACGTCGAATTGGATTGTTCGTATTTACAAAGTGAAACCACCAAATAATAGGTGGTAAGTCCGGCTCTCTTGCAGCTACAAGGAAGGAAAGGACAATAGTGAAGGAACATGGTTAGATGAAGGGCGGAGAGATTGGAGTCTTGAGATAGGGTTTTTAGAAGATAGTAAAAGCGTAATTTTCTTTTCTTAGACTTGGTTTGTGGCACTGAAGTTACTGATCTGATCCGGAACCCTTAATTGGAAGGTCGTCTTTTTGCCTCTGAATTACAACGGTTTTGTTCATTGTATCGTTGAGAGATTTTACAATGTAACATTTGAGCAGTTTTAATTTCAGTCGTACGATAAATTATTAAATTTGGTACGTTATCATAATATCATTATTACTTTTTGAAGACAGAATATGAAGATTGGATGAGCCAAAAGCACCATTCATGCATGCAGTGAAGGGGCTTGGTTTTTTTTGTTTTTTTTTCAAACGATAGTTCGAAGTCATGCCGTTATGCAAGGGTTCAATATTGTGGTAAAGGACCACTTGTTTTTTTTATTTTTTTTATTTTTTTCGATCAAGTGGTTCGCTGTGGTTGAGGAATTTCATGATTAATTTCCGCATAGGAAACAGACCAACAAGTTTCATAATTTGAAAAGGTAATTTTTTTTTTTTTTAGTGCAAATTAAAATTTGACAAAAAAAAAAGAGAAAATTAAAATTATTCCTAAAGAAAAACGAGACAAAAACCAAAGCAGTCACGTTGGATAAAAAGTAAACAACTTGGGTAGATAGATGCTCCGTCCCCGCTCCCGCCCGGGTACTCGCGCTCTTCTTGGATATACATTTACGCTTATCGTATCAAAATCCACACACAACTTGGCCACAGGGGAACAGACTTACTCCGGTTTCTTGCGTTATTGTGCCCAGACCTCTAACTTACCCCATGGCAGAGCACTCCATGCTAAACTCATCAGAGGCCTTCTGCCCTTCTGTCCTTTTCTTCAAAACCATCTACTCAACATGTATGCTAAATGCGGCGATCTTATTAATGCTCTCCAACTGTTTGATGAAATGCCTCACAAGAATGTTGTGTCGTGGTCTGCGGTCATTACGGGCTTTGTCCAACATGACTCTCCTAAGAAAGCCCTGTCTCTGTTTGGTCGTATGCACCGGGACGGCACCACCAAGCCCAATGAGTTTACCTTGGTTAGCGCCCTCCACGCCTGTTCCTTGTATGGGAATCTGACTCAAGCTTACCAAGTCTATGCATTCATCGTTAGGCTAGGATTTGAGTGGAATGTTTTTCTCAGTAATGCGTTTTTGACTGTTTTAGTAAGACATGGAGAATTAAAAAGTGCTTTGGAAGTTTTTGAGAATTGCCTCAATAAAGATATAGTGTCTTGGAATGCTGTGATGGCTGGATACTTGCAGTATTCTTATTTGGAAATACCGACATTCTGGTGTCGCATGAATCTCGAGGGAGTGAAACCCGACAGCTACACATTTTCGAGTGTTCTCACTGGGTTGGCTGCTCTCACTGATCTTAAAATGGGCGAGCAAGTTCATGCACAGCTTGTCAGGTATGGCTATGGGGCTGAGATTTGTGTGGGGAATTCGTTGGCTGATATGTACATTAAGAATCAGAAGTTAATGGAGGGCTTCAAAGCCTTTGATGAAATGCCTTCAAAAGATGTGTGCTCATGGACCCAAATGGCTGCTGGGTGTCTTCAATGTGGGGAGCCAAGGAAAACGCTTGAGGTTATTGATCAAATGAAGAAAGTGGGTATAAAGCCTAACAAGTTCACGCTTGCAACTGCCCTGAATGCCTGTGCCAATTTGGCTTCCTTGGATGAAGGGCAGAAATTCCATGGCTTGAGAATTAAACTCGAAACCAGTACTGATGTTGATGTGTGCGTGGATAACGCTCTGCTAGACATGTATGCAAAATGTGGATGGATGGAGGGTGCAAGGCGTGTTTTTCAGTCAATGAAGGATCCGTCTGTGGTGTCATGGACTGCAATGATCATGGGGTGCGCACAAAACGGGCAAGCTAGGGAAGCTGTTGAGATTTTTGATAAGATGAGGCTGGAGGAAGACAGTATTGAGCCAAATTACATCACCTTCATATGTGTACTCTATGCATGTAGCCAGGGCGGGTTTATTGATGAAGGATGGAAGTATTTTGCCTCCATGACTCATGACCACGGAATCTCCCCAGGAGAAGACCATTATGCATGCATGGTGAATCTTCTAGGCCGAGCAGGATGCATTAAGGAAGCTGAGGAATTAATCCTGAGCATGCCCTTTAAGCCAGGTGTTCTGGTTTGGCAAACTCTTCTTGGTGCTTGCCAGATTCATGGCGATACAGAAACTGGAAAGCGGGCGGCAGAGCATGCGTTAGATATAAACAGAAGGGATCCATCAACGTATGTGCTACTGTCAAACATTTTTGCTGGATTGAGCAATTGGGATGATGTTGGGATGCTTAGGAAACTAATGGAGGCTAGGGATGTGCAGAAAGTGCCAGGATCCAGTTGGATTGAAGTGGAAAAAGGCCAGGCATCATCACCTCTGTAAAGACCTGCTTAATTCCATTGGTACCTGCTTCCATATTCTCATCCACTTACTATTATTCAAATGATAAAATCTTACAACAACAACAACAAAGCCTTTTCCCACTAAGTGGGGTCGGCTATAAATGATAAAATCTTAGACAAGTAGAAATTCCTTCTCCTTGGAATTCCTACATGCTGTTTAATTGGGTGGAATTCGTTGGCTTCTCCTTGAGAGCTAGATTGTTCCACGGCTGTGGCCCGTGCAGAGGTAATGATACAAGTGCTATTTATCATATTATCAAGTTAAACATTATTAGTCAAATTCGTTTTAAGCCATGTTAGGCAATAAAGCATTTCTTTAAAGTCAGAAACGATTATATTATATATGTGTACCATATGATTTTGTCCCTCAGATCATAGACCAAAACGAGTAAAGCTTTTATATAGTTAGAGGCTGAAGTGTTTCAAACTATTTTAAAGTGATTTGTATATGCCTAATTTCATGTCATTGCTCATGTATGGATTTCTGAAGTGAGCAATAAATCCTAGGTACCTAGCATAGGGTTTACTTGTTATACATGCTATAGTGATAGCTTGTACTTGTACCTAGGAACGTAAGAGGTGAAGCAATGTGTTCGATGTTACACAATCAGGTGGAGTTGCTCTTTTACTTTGGAATCAAGGTAGGGTTTCTGGGAAACCTTCTATTATTTAGTTTGAATATTGCTTCTGTATGTCTGTTTGTTATTACGTTATTATGAAGGTGGTTTGAATCTGAATAATGTTTCGAAATGTTGGTCGAATATGATTGATGATTCTAAAGGCGAGTTGGTTTTCAATATTGATTTTATGATTATCCTTGCTATGTGCAAAGAGAAATGGAAACTTTCATAGCTATTCATGATGTGAGAATGGGTTGAATTATTAGAAAGAAATTTTGGAAATGGTGCTAATGACTAGGAGCTTTTGTGTAGTTGAGCCCAACTCTGTAGGCATCAGGTCTTAGGTCAACCCAAAACGCACATGGGCTTTATGCGTAATTCGGGGCTGGTGACAAAAAGAGGCAAAATTAGATGGATTAACGGGAAATAGGGAGGGCGTTTTGCATTGCACTCATGCATATAATTTCGCGCGTGTATTTAAATTACTTCAATGATAATTAAATTTTAGCTCTTTGGATTTGGGGTTTTTTACTAACCTCAGGTCCGCGGGTTACAACCTCAAAAGATTTGCTTGAAAATGATTAGGGTTGTTTTCTTGGCATTCCACATATTGTTGAATACACCCCATGCTTAAAACACCTCACACTCATTTTTTAAACTAAAAACTAACTTAATACACCCCACTTACTAACCAAAACTACCCTCACACCCCACACCAAAATCCACCTCAAGTCTTCATCTTGTCCCAAAAAAAAAAATTAGTCTTTGTCTTGAGCACATTTGCAACCTCCAAATATCAGTTTTGACTAATGTATTCATTATTTGTTGCTTCTTCATTTCCAGTACTGTGAAAAATCACTTTGGTTTAAGGAGTTCATCAAAACTCATATCAGCTGTAGTCTTTTAATTCATGAATAATGCATTTTGGCAGATCAAGAATTAAGAATAGCTAAATAAAGAATGAGCAATAAGGGAAAGAGAGGAAAAAAATCAAAATCTTTTTAAATGATTTGGGGTGCAGGATGAAAATAATTGTTTTTATTTTATTTTTAGGGCTTAAATAGTTATCTTATACAAGTCATTTAACATTAAATATTGAATGGGGTGTATTTAATAATTTGTGGGGTGCTAGTAAAAAAATCCAAACGAAAGATTTTGCAAGTTTGAAACAAGTTAAAGCATTGCTTGGCATTCAAGCAAAGTAAGCATGAATTCATGACACAATATCTGATTTCATACAAATTGAGCCTTTCCTTAAATCGGCCCGATTATTCGTCATCACTTTTCCAGCATATATGTTGCTGTAAATCAAAATGGAAGCTTGCATAATGTTGTTATTTTTAAATTTTATTTAAATAACCTTATTTTTTAAATTGTTTAATAAGAAAGAGGGAATTTACCGTCATTTGTTAATTGTTAGCAAAATGTGGGGAAAAGAAAGTTGTAGCTTAAAGCCTTTATAGAATTTACATTTAATAAAAAAAAAGAAAAAACCAAATGTAATCATTAAAAGGAAAAAAATCTAAACCCATAAATATAGGAATAGGGTTAGGATTAAAAGAGTAAAAGGAAAAAACCATTTTAAATAGGATGAAAAATAAGGAATTAAATTAGAAAAGAAAAAAGAAAGATAGCGTTGTAGTGTATTAGGACAAAGAGTCCACTCCTAGTAGTCCACAACCGTCGTGTGGTCGTACATCGGCGCGCACTCGCCTAAACGCCACATTTCATCCACTCATTAGTTACCACTCTCATCTCTCTCTCTCTCTCTCTCTCTCTCTCTCTAAAAAAGTAAAAACTCCCTCCCCTTAGCCAAAAGTGAGCCTTGAGTTTCAGGTCTCCCTCGTTTCGTCCTCCATATAACCTCGCACGTCCTCTCTGCCAAATCTCTCCCTCTCCTTTCTCAACCCAAGAGTCATGTCGTCCTCGGGCGGCCACTCCGGCAGTGTTGGCGGTCCGATCGCCCCTCAGCTTTACTTCTGCCACCGGTGCGACCGTACGGTTTCCCTCACCCCCTCACCTACCTACGATCTCGTTTGCCCTCTTTGCAGCGGCGGCTTCCTCGAAGAGATGGAAACCCCCAACCCTAACCCTAACCCTTTCCCCCCCAATCCTTTCTTCTCCTTCCCCTCCTCCGACGCCCCTCCCTTCGCCTCCAGCGGATTTCCCCTCCTCTTCTCCTCCTCCGCCTCTGGTCCCGCTCCCGATTCCGCTCCCGCCCCTGCCAATCTCGCCGATGATCTCTCCTCCCTCTTCGGTGGCGCACCCTCACGCTCCTCACCCTTTCAGGACCCCGACGCCTTCAACCCCTTCGTCTTCCTCCAGAACTACTTGCAAACCCTGAGGGCAAATGGTGCCAATGTCCAGTTCGTGATCGATGGCAGCCCTGGCGGCGGCGGCGGGGACCCATTTGGTTTTCGTGTTCCCACCAATCTTAATCTCGGCGATTACTTCTTTGGCCCGGGCATCGAGCAATTGATCCAACAATTAGCCGAGAACGATCCAAACAGGTACGGCACCCCACCTGCCTCTAAGTCCGCCATCGTAGCCTTGCCGGTTGTGAAAATCTCAGAGGAGTTGTTGGCTTCGGATTCGTCACAGTGCGCGGTGTGTAAGGACTCATTCGAGCTCGGTGAGGAGGCCAAACAGATGCCCTGTAAGCACTTATACCACTCGGATTGTATTCTGCCTTGGCTGGAATTGCATAACTCATGTCCTGTCTGTCGCCACGAGTTGCCCACTGATGATCCTGAATACGAGCAGAGGATCCGTGGGGACTCCGGAAATGGCAATCAAACTAGTCAATCTGCGGCTCCTGGTGGGACTAATATTTCTATGGGCGGTGGTGGGAGTGGTAGTGGGTTTGGGTTAGGAATTGGCACGCCATCTCTAGACAATCCGAGTCCAAGTCCTCGAACGGTGGAGCGGAGGTTTACCATTTCCCTACCACGCTTTTTTGGGGCACTTGGTGGTCCGGCCGAGACTAGCAATACTGGGAGTGGAAACAATGAGGAGTCGAACTCAGGGAATAGGGGAAGGCATAACCCTGGATCGGAGGAGCCTAGGCAAGAAGATCTTGATTGAGCACAATTGGTATTGCACTTGTTACTTACCTAACACATTCATATATCTTTGTCTTCCATTTGGTTATTCTGACCTAACAAGCTTGAATGTGCCTGTCAAACTTTGTTATTTATATCCTTGGCAAACAATGATCGTTAGCTCCTTTATTTTTGCATCACTAGTTTAACTCATATTTTCATGAAAAATCATGTAAATTTGAAGTCTTTATTTGATAATACTTATTCGTAAACCTTCTATGTGGCAAACTTGCAACTGGATTGTACCTTAGAAACATTGTTTTGCACGAGTTATTTGTAGCTAATCAATGTGGGATGAAACGACTGGGAGTCCTATAGTGTTAGGTAAAAGGAAGAAACTGTCGTAAGCAGTGGGTCATATTGGTTTCTCCAGAAGCAACGTGCAACCAGTGAAAAATGCTAGAAAATACATATTTAAACAACGACAAGGGTATGACTTCCCCATTTGTGGTTAATCTACCATGACATAAAAGTCGAACACCTACTGCGTATTAAAAAGATATCTTCATGTAACAGTCCTGGTAGACCTCCATTCATCTAAAACTTCCAACAAGCCTCAACAATCTTATAAATTACCTTCTTTGAACTAGTAAAAGTCTATAATGCATACCTGAAGAACTCTGGAAATGTACAGATGTGAATTGTGGATGCATATCTAATAATACTAAACCATTGTGTATAACACACATAAATGCCGCTGCGTTGGTTGATACTCATAATGATTGTTATTTTGGTGTATCCAATCGCCGTACTGTGATATGGCTGATATCACCCGTATCTCCTGAGATGGTTGTAGGAGGTGACTTTAACGACATCTCTAGGATAATGTTTGATATCCTAGACAGTATGATATTTGTTTATAGTTGAGAGATCTACGAGGTGCATAAGCACCAATGCCACGACATACTAGGTTTATTATGTGTAAAGGCTAAGATCACCATCTGCAGTGTTCTAGGGTAATGTTGTCTAACTCTTGGAATAAACCTACTTTGTCCAGGAGTGAACCTTCTGTTCTTTTCTTGTGTCTTAATCTGGTGTCCCTGGTCAGGGTAGTCATAGATCACCATTCCAATCATGTATGATTATGGATCTATATCAGTGACCTTAGTCTCTAGATTTGAGAATATGTGACTCATCCTTCCTGATTTATTTCAAAAGATCAAGTTGTTCTGAGTTTTTTCTATTTTATGTATCCAACTTTTGAAGGTTACTCTCAAAAAGTGAAGAAGAGATGGGGTTGGATGTATAGGTGGGTCAGAGTGCTTTATAAATTTCACGCGGTAATTTGGCTATAAGCTAGTGGGACAGTAGTTATTCTGCTCATATTCCACTTCCTAAATGTGGAAGTTATGAGATACAAATTCTAAGCAGTAGGTTGACCATAAGCTATTGGGGAAGTGGTTATTCTGCTTGTTTTCCAATTTTCTAAATACGACAGTTATGACTTGCGAATTCTTAGGTTTGTCGGACTCTTGAATCGTTGGATGCATCAGATTTTTTATAGGAGCATACTTGTTTGCATTTTTAGTTAAATTGTAATACTCATAATTCTCTTGTTGCTATCAGAATCATCTGAAGTTGTGTGCTGATGAGATTTTTGTATTGTGTTCCATCCATTCAAAAGAGTTAGACCATACAAAAATCTAGGCTGTTTTGTTTGTATCAGTATTGGATAGTATGAGTATTTCTATCCATTCAAATCAGATTTTAATGTTTATTTCTCTTTTCCATTCAAATCTAGGCTGTCTTGTTTGTATTAGTATTGGATCGTATGAGTCTTTCTGTGCGACCAAGTTTTTTAAGCCAATCCATACATGAATGAGGTTCTTTTGTTTTAGTATAGTGAAACTTGAGGAAATCAATATGGATCCTTGGTTGGATTATTTCGAGTGCATGTTTGACTATATTTCCAGCAGCATTTATGTGCATGATTCATTTAGTTTATGAAGCAAGTCCTTAACATAGCTTTATGTTATAAGTTCTAAGACTTTTGGGATTGCTTGGTGTCTAGGATTGAATTGGAATGGATAACTCATAAAATTCAAGGTATATTGAAGGTTGGTGTATGATTTTTCATTTATAGGGTATTAGAAGTGGAAGATTAGACATGAAGGAAACTTGTCCCTTCTAGTCCTTTCATTTGGGGGGATTGGATCCATCTTCTACTTTTAAATTGGACACAGTTTTTCCATCTCTTCCTTCAAAATATGTTGAATACTGTGAAATATTCAATCCTAGACATCAAACGAGTCCTTAGTGCTCTTTTTTTCTAGTTTGCCATGTGGCGTCGTGTTTAGTTTTGAATTTATGTGCTCTCAATGTTTTCTCTCCCTCTCTCTATCTCTGTCGCTCTGATATTATAAATTTATTAAGTTTTCAATTAAATGGTTGCTTTGTCTCTTTTTGGTAGGTACAGTTGGCAGATTGGATATGCAACCAATTGTTGAACAAAGAGAAAGATCTTACACATTAACAGTTAGTGACAATTGTTTTTCTCTAAATATTTTGTCCTGATAATCATAGGTAAATGTCCATCGTTATTTTTCATTGTTGTGAATTCTTTTATAGATTCATCATCAATTTATGAGAATTTTATGTGCATGATCCGTGTTGTCGAGTGTCGTGTAATTTTTTATTTTTATTTTTAAATTTTGGTACCATGGTAATTTTGGGGATATGTCTGTAATATGAGGCATTGTCTTTCTTTCTTAATTGGCTTATATTGTAGTGTAGCTGTGAAATGGTTTTGATATTGTATCTCTGATTCTATATATTTGTTATTGTCACGCCCACCCCACCCCCACCCAAATTGTGATTAGGCGCCCTAACCACGGAGTTTATGGCCGTAATCGTGAATCCCTTTAGTGGTGATGAACTTGACCGCCAGTATGTAGTGAGTAGAAATGGAGATTGGTGTTGCCATGGCCGTGTTATTTGACCGTGCATCAAGAATTTAGTAGCCAAAAATCACATTGTGTCTGATACCTTGGAGTAGGTGGCATTTTGGAGCCAACTTGACCCAACCCACCCATTAAAATCAACATTTGGGTGGATGATTAACTGGTTAGGTAGTTAACGGATGGACCCGTTAATCGCATGACATTTTACGGGTCAGTTTGAGTCTACCTACATACCCTCTAAGCACCAGTTAAGTAAGGGTGTTTGTGTAATTTTAATAAATAACCTAACCCAGCTTTCTTTCTTGTGCATTACCACAGAGAACCTTTTGCCTTGTTTGCATTCTTCCAACTTCAAATACTATACAAACTCTCTCTCTCTCTAGACTGTATAAAACTTTGCATATAAATTTACCTGACAGCCATCTCTTCTGCAAAATATATTTTCCATGCCAATGATTGATCCTCATAGATATCATTTCATTTTGGTTTCATGGTCTGTATAAATAGTAGCTTGATTAATATTAAAATGGAAAAGACAAGATTATAGCAACATTTCCAATTGATTTTAGGGCATGTTTACTTACAAGAAACAGGAATTGAAATCATTTTGATTCATGAGTTCATTGCGGTAACAAAAATATGGATATGGAAATCATTTTATTCTTTAACTTTCTCATGCGTTTACTTACACGTAAAGATTAGAAAAGCACAAGTTTTTCTTAAAATCCATAAACAAATACCAAAAAATAAGGAATCGGATTGACTAGGAGGGATTGGTTGTTTAGATTCTCTCTTCTTACTTATCCAGTTATCCTACTTTTAAGCTTTCCCTTTCATGTCTTTTCCAATTTTTGTTAAGTAAACATGCCGTTGCTACTACATAATGGATGACCCTTTTAATGTGGAATGATATAACAGTCTTTTTACCCTTTTAATTTGGAATGATATAAAAAATGTTAGGAAGACATCGTTAATACTAAAAGAGGATGCAAAGTTGAACTTAAAATACATTATATATGTATGTATGTATGTATGTATGGTGAACTGTCATTTTAGTCTATGAATTATCACATTAATGAAAATTAGGTCTTTAAACTATTTTTTCCAGAAAAATAAGTACTTGAATTATAAAAATCTGCCAGTTACATCGTTAATATTATATTCGAAGCTTAAATTCAATTTTCCGTTAATTTAAGTCATGTTACTTGCATGTGATACATATTGGAGGGTAACTTGATAATTTTACATAAAGAAATAGTATGTGGAGTGAACTTTTGAAGGTAAATAAGACGTTAGATTTGCAATCTATATTAAATGTTAAGGGCTTATAGGCGAGAAAAGAACAATATTACACTCTAAAGTGTGTCAAGTGACTTAAATGACGAAAAATTAAATAAAATAACTTTGAATATAATAGTTAGTAGGGATGACATTAGCAATTTTTAATGAATTTAGGGACTTATTACTGAAAAAATAATTTAAGAACCTAATTTTTACTGAGTTGATAGTTCAGGGACTAAATCATCACTTTACCTATATATTTATATATCTATGTTAGGATGACTTACTAACTTATTGTGATGAAGTTGAGTCGGTAGGTCTATATCACGTAGAATGATTTTTTCTCTTCATTCATTATCTTTTACTTGAACGGTTACGATTAAGGTACGTCAACATCTTGTATTGATTTTTTTATAGAAACAAAAAGACAAAAAGCAAAATGTGAGAAGAAAGAAGGAAATGAGATGAGAATATAAAAGGAGATGAGAGAATTCTATTCTCTATCACATGCATTAATGAAATAGTTCAACATTGTCCCTCTTTTTCTCCTCCTCCTTGTGCCCCCGTTGTGCTCTTCTCGAAAAAAAAAAAAAAAAAAAAAGCTTCCAACCTTATGTAGGGGGAAGCAAGTCTAAGTGGGAATGCAAATACATATACGCATACGACTACGAGAAGGAGGGTGGGGCCCGGAGGTGGGACTGGGAGAGTCGTTCCTTCGCGTGACTTTATCGTACGATACAAAATGCTAAGATAGAAAAAAAATTATGGTAAGAGGTGAAGTTTGTTAAGATTTATGTGTAAAATTAAAGATTTTATCTAATTTTTTGTTAATTACTAACATGTGATAAATTTGGAGACTAGGGAGATTAAATTTGGAGAAATTTTTTTAAAACTAAACTACATTGAAGTTGAGAGTTGGTTTATTCCTTAACCGTTGATAAACGTGCTCATTCTTATTGGTGACACATCATTTAGTTTGCTAATTTTGTTTTTAAATTTAGTCACCCTAACATTACCCTAGGCTAAAGTTGAACCCTCCTTTTGTTAGTGTGTGATGCTACATGTGAGGCTAATTTTATCGTTTTAGTCTCATATGCAAGCCTAATATACTAACAATTAATGAAAAAGGGCGAAATTTTTAATTTTGAGCTTAAAATACTAAAAGACTTCACTACAAGGTTTAAATCCTAGTTTTTTTTTTTTTTCAATAAAAATTATTTTTCAACTACTGTATCACCACATAAATCTGCTCCGGAAGAGTGCCCTATTAGACCAATCAAAGCCAAGAATTGCACAAATGAAGAAAAGAGATAGAAAATGAAAGAAGAACAGATAGGTGATTCTCTAATAATCTAATATTAGGCATAAAAATAAAATGAAAAAAATGATTGAGTGTTACTGCTGCTGAGCCTGAGAGATGTGTCGGTAGTCGGTTCGGCTTCTCCCTCTCTCTCTTGTCCGCTGTCCTCCTCAAGTCCTCCATCAACTCAACTCAACTCTGTCATTCCGCGTCAAAGGAAAATATAATATTATTATTTTATTTTGAATGTTTGAAAAATCAAATAACAACTGTCTGCCTGATGCTTCTTCTCCAGCAGCACAATCACCATCACCATCACCATACAAGAAGAAGAAGAAGGCCAAGTATTTGACTTTTTTGTGGACTTGATTT